GATATTCAATTATTAGGTTTCTTGATCCGAAGGAACATAGATATGAGTAGGGTCCAAAATATATCACTGAATCAAATAACAATGAGTTTGCGTATGAAAAATATTTGTAAACAGCAACAATATTTACAAGTTGCATTTTTATTGTTGAGATATAGAAAATATTAATAAATAGAATAGAATAATAAAATATTGGATGTCAACTTCAAGAAAATAGAGTCCCTAATTAATTTGAATGAGTCTATATATAACTTTTAGAGTAATTAACATAAAAATTGATATTTTTTTATCATAGATGACATTTTATAGTTGAAGGATATATAGTAAAGAGATTTTGACATCGTAAATACATTTTAGTTTAATAATAACTTATTTTTGTTTTATATTTAAAAAATTATGTATGAAAATAAGTTAAATTAAAGTTGTCTGGAAACACAGTAAAAAGTGAGGGAAAAGTTTCAAGCATTGATGTAATCTAATAAAAAATTTATACATATTTAAAAAATAATTTTAAAAGTACAATTTATTGTTAAAATAAATTTCAACCACCTTGTCAGCACCCTAAACGTCCGATATGAGGGGCCGGACGTCTATAATATTATAGACGTCCGTCCCCCTCCCCAACGGACGTTTAATGTGCTGACAGGGGAATTGAAGCGTTCATTTGTTTCAGCCTCTTAGACGTCCTTCCTGGGGGACGGACGTCTATAATATTATAGACATTCGGGCCCCTTCCACAAAAGTCTAAAACCCCCCGCGAATATCAATTTTAAATCCCCAAAGACGTCATATTAGTGATGGCCCGGACGTCTATAATATTATAGACGTCGGGGCCCTAGAGTGCCGGACGTCAAAGAGTATTAATACTAAAACGCGAACCCGCGAGCAGTTGCACTCACTGTTCATCGTCTTCCCCGCGAACTCTGTCTGCGCCATTGCTTTTCCAGGTGCGTTTTCTCTCTTTTGGACCATTTAAATTTACTTTCAATCCGATTACATTGCTCTGTGATGAAATATCTTTGATTTGAACCGATTAAAAATCGTTTTCGGTGCGTTTTGGTGCAGTCTCTTGCGTGTTCTTGGGCGGCTTCTTTGACTGTTTTTGGGCTACGTTTTAGGCCGTTCCCTCCTCGATTTCCCTCCCTTTCATTTGGAATCTACTTTTCAGGTTATCTTGTTCGTTGCTAAATTTTTGTATGCATGTAATTGGGTTTTGTGTATGCATGTTTTTTACTCTAAGGTATACATGTGTTATTGGCTTTTGAATATGCATGTATTAGTTGTGTTATTATAAGTATCAAATCATTGAGAGACACTTAGTTCCCGTTTGAAATTTAACACAAACGATTAATCTTTTAATCGTTTGTGTTAAATTTTGAATTGCCCGATTGGACAGTTTGAGAAAATTAATTTTCATAATTTGCAATAACATGTCAATTGGAGTTTATGGATAAGATTGATAAAATTTCGGTTCAGTATTTGTGTTGTTCTCCGGATGCATATTTGATTGTGGTCATCGTTGACTACTCTCATTTCGTGTATTTCGGAGACCAATGCGAAATGCTGCCGAAATCTTATCAATTTTATGATGTAGACTTCAATGCACGTGTCTGAGCAAATTATGAAAATTAATTTTTTTGAATGGGTAGGGCCTAACCTTGTGAGAGTTAAAAAACTTCAACTGATGATTTTACGAACATAGTATGGATCGAAGCTGGATGAACGAACGTCGCATCAGTGAAGAATATGATAAGGGTGTTTCGAAGTTCTTGCAATACGTTGAANCCATTCAACCGTCTGGTAACACACTTCAAAACAGACAACAGTATTTGCAAACATGGATGGATGAGTCAAAAAGAGACGTATACCTTGTGCCATACATTGAGGGGTAGGTGTTGTTATATGTGGTCAGTTCATTATTATAGTTGCCTTAATTAGTTGAATAACTATTTGTCCTTCGTGATAGGTCGCACTGGCAGCTGATAGTCATCATTCCCAAACAATGTAAAATTATATGGTTTTGTTCGTTGCACAGGAGGATGAAAAATGACTTGAGAACCATGCTTCAAGGGTAAGTGTTTCTCCAAAAATGACTTTGAATTTGATGTTCACCTTCAACTTTTATGATAAATATAGTCATATTAATTATACTTTGTGATTTCAATCTGTACAGAGTTATTGGTAAATCTCATGGTTAACTAGTTCAAATTTTGTATCCAAAGGTTGTAAGTCATTTATAGTTCTAATTCATTTTCTATGTTATTGAATTATCTAAATTCTTAACTATTTAGTTTGTCATTTTAGTGTAACCAGCAGCTAGATTCATGGGAATGTGGCTTCTATGTAATGTGTTGGATTAAGACCATCATTCGAGCTGTCATTACAGATTACTGGAATGAGGTAATGATGTATACCTTGAATACATTACAAATCAAATTCATCTTCAAACATATATATGAAACCATAATGAATCTTTCTTGAATTTTGCAGCGCTTCAAGAGTGCATCTCCTATACCAGAGGACACAATTAGGCAGATAAGGCAGGAGTGGACCGCTTATCTTCTGCAAAGATGGAGTTAGGAATAGTTTTATTTGTTGTTGAACATTGCTTAGTTTTAGTTTAAGTTTTATCTTGATAGTTTTGGTAGTGGATTATATTTTACATTAAGTAGAACTTTGTTTATATCAAACGAATATATATATTGTTGCAAAATTGTTCTGGGACAAATTTCTGCTTTTCAGGTGTGGTTTTATAGCAAAAATAAATTGGTTTTTTAAAAAAATACGCCCAGTAGACGTCGGTTAATGCACTGTCGGACGTCTATAGACGTCCGACAGTGCACAAACGGACGTCCAACCCCAACCCTACCACAAAACAATTCAGGCAGGTGGACGTCGGGGGTATACACCTCGGACGTCTGTGTAGACGTCGGGGGAGGGAGGAGACGGACGTCTATGTGGACGTCAGACGGGCACGTGGGACGTCTATATGGACGTCTGTCAGTGTACACTGGACGTTTGGATAGGCGTCGGGACTGACACATCGGACGTCTATATAAACGTCCGATGTGGACCCCCCGACGTCTGAGTAACGTCACCCACAAAGACGTCGGGGGAAGGTCGGACGTCAAAAGGCCAAAAGAACGGACGTCTAAAGCCGTTTCTGCACTAGTGAGTATGAAAAATTACATTCTTGATCGAACGGTTAGCAATCATGATCGTATGATTTGTTCTCTATATCAACAGTTACTCAAGTATATCAACAGTTAATCAAGTAAAATAGACCTGTGAGTGATCAGACAGGTTAGTACAGATACTACTATTATTGGGTCAACGTTAGAAGTAGTCTTATTGGGCTAATTGATTGGACAAGTAAGCAATTAATAATTTCATAATAATAATAATAATAACAAATTGATTAAAGATAATAATTACTATTAAAGATAATAATAGTATATTGGTTAAAGATAATAACAAATTGTTAACATCTTAATAGGTATGACATTATTGAACCAACGATAATTCAAGGTCCACAGAACGCCTACAAAGGTGAAGGTACAGTGGTAGGTAATATTAGATGTCAACTTCAAGAAAATAGAATCCCTAATTAATTAGAATGATTCTAAATATAACTTTTAAAGTAATTATCACAAAAATTGATATTTTTATCATAGATGACATTTTATAGTTATAGTAAAGAGATTTTGACATCGTTAATACATTTTAATTTAATTATAACTTATTTTTGTTTTATATTGAATATATATTAAAAATTATATATGAAATTATTATTTTTATATTAAATATATATATATATATATATATATATATATATAATATTTTATTTATAATAGAAAAAATATCGTCTAAATTCAATATATAAATAATAATAATATATTTAATAATTTTAATAAAACTTTTGGTATAAAGACATCAATCAAAGATAAGAAGACATTCACCATTTTTTTCTGTTAAAAATAATACAATTCTTATAAAAACCAAAGATAATATCTCTCAAATTGCAAAGCAATGATTTATTATAAAATTGTTTGCCTGATTGGTTTTGTTTGGACTAAAGGGGGAGGGGAAAAGTAAAGAAAAATAAGAAGAAATGAGTGAAAAATGTTAAGTGATTTGTTTAGTTCTAATAATATTTTTATATAAAGATATAAAAATATGTTTATTTATTATTTAAATTTATGAAATCAAGATTAAGATATTATAAATATCTGGTATTTTTTTCAAATTTCATATATTTTTAAAACTTAAAATCTCAAGAGAAAATGATGCTATTTTAATTATAAAAAATAAAGTAGAAATAAGTTAAATTAAAGTTGGACGTGAAAAACACAATAAAAAGTGAGGGAAAAGTTTGAAGCATTGATGTAATATAATAAAATTCTTATACCAATTTAAAAAATAATTTTAAAATTATAAATTATTGTTAAAATAAATTTTAAATTAAAATAAGAATTTATTTTATTTAATAATTATGTTATTTCATTATAATATAACTATTTTATTAATATTTACAATGGTTAATTATATGCTTATTTAACAAAAATCCACTCGTTCAATCGCGGAAATTTTTTCATCAAAAAAATCATCTCATTTTTCTTTTATGGTCATTAAAAAATCCTCTCTATGTAAATAGTAATTCTTTATAAACAAATGTATGGTCATTTTAAGCTACCATTGATTAATAAAAAGTACATAACTTAAAGTAGGACAGAAGAAGCTTAAAAAAAACGTATTAGAAACCTTCAAAGTATTTATTAAGTTTACAACTTAATTTTAATAATAATTATCATTATCTCGTCATAGTATGAATAATCTTCTTTATATATATGATATTTATCTTGTATATTTTCATTGTAAAGCTGAAAAAAAAACTGTAATAACTCTCTCATTATAATCTTAAACTTAATATCCCAACTAATCAAGAAATAGATTGGTTTACACTTGTGGATTTATTCTTTTTATATTGAAAGCATAAAAAATAATTAGAATTTGATGATCTTTTGGGATTTACTTAAAGGGCTTTCATCCCTACAGTTATCTAAATCTTCCTCCAACATTTCTATGATCTTCTCCTTCTCATATATTGCTTCTAAGAGCCTAATATTTTCTTCTCTGAGAGCTTCAAACTGGGAAATGATTCCTGCAATTTGAGCTTCAATGGCCTCATCGCTCAGCTCAAACACACTCTCTACCACTCTAATGAAACGCCACAAACTCACCACAACCAGAAAACCACCTCCTCTTCCCACCACAAAGCCTTCCAAAATGATAGCTCCTATCACCACAACTCCATCAACAACATACCCCACATGCTGGAAAAACGAACAACCTAACCCCACCATTAAACCCATTGTCTTCGCTACAAGAAAACTCAGAATACCAATTCCAATCCAATGGAAACATTCTTCTGCTACGCTGCTTATGCGCCTCTCACAACAAACCAGAGATGAAGATAGCTCAAGGGTTGTGATGATGAGGTCTGCAATAAGCAATAAGATTGTGAAGACGTGAAGCCATGTTGAATCAAGGAAATTGGCCAAATGGGTGCGCCATGCTGCTCTGCTGTTCAAACCTTGTTGGCTAGATGTGTTGAATAGTAGCAGCCATCTTTGCCTTCTCTTCCATGATTTCACTAAGCTTTGGACTGATGAATCTAGTATTTGCATGGAAAATTGTGTTTGCTTGGTTTCTGAGGAAACATGGACAGCTTTCGAGGTTTTCATGGATGACAAGTGCAGAATTTGGTGATGAATTCATGATTTTAATATACAGCTAGAAAATTATGATTAACTTTGACGAATTGAATGTGGCATGTTGGTGAAGTGCAAGTAAAGTCTTAAATGTTTTGCCAAATTTAGCTTTGGGGTCACGTTATTAGACTCCCACATTATTTGTATTAGCTTGTCCTCAAATTACAAACTTAATATTACAAACTTAACATAGATGATCTATTATGAAATTTAAAAATGTATTTTAGATTGTAAACTTTAGAATTAATTTTTTTTCTAGATCAATTAATCTAGAATTAAGTTCTTATTCTCTTTGGTTAATCAGAAAAGGTGAAAAGATGAAGGCCTGCGGTATATTTATTATGAAAAGTGTGTAATCATTTATTAGGGCAACAAGCTGTCATCTTTGATAACATAATTGCATCCACAAGGGGCCAAAATGAACATTTAAAAAACAATTGAGGGTGTGGAAGGGATAAATAGAGTTGCAGAACATAATTGTCTTATTGACAAGAGAAAATGCAACCCATTAATAGTCCAAGTGATAAAAATTATTCAAAAGTGGGCTTTTAATTTCTGCACCTTCATAATTTCTTTGCGCAACAGCTTAAATTTTCAGATAAGTGATAAATTAAAAAATTATAGGTTTGAATAAAAGAAGAGAGAGATAAATTAAAAAATCTCAAGTAATATGGAGGAATTTCAAACAGAAGATGTTCCTGAATATAAATTTGAATCCCCTAAAAACTTACACTCCTCTCTTTCGATGCTTCATCCAAATACAAGTTAAATGAAATATCAAATTCTAGTTTATATCAACCTAATTCATCAAAAAGTGAAACTAGATCATGACTATCTTAATTGGACAGATCCAAATCAACCGTGAAATAGGAATGAAAATAGTGAAAATATGAACAACACATAGCCTCAATTGATGGCTAAGCAATTAATTTCAAAATGGTCTTGCTTCACGAAATGATAGGTCAATTCATATGCTGAATTTGATGCGTGAATCAGTACATTACATGAAATGAAAAGAAGGGTTCAAATAACTAATCAAATTACTACATTTATGCATTTAAAACATTGATAATGGAAAGAAGGAATAAAGAAGCTCTTTTATTATGTGGGAGTATCATATTACATCAGCATACAAATTGAAAAAATGTGAATGACCACAAATCCACCAAAGCATGGAGTACTCCCCTTTAGTTTAGAGATATTTCATAAAACTATATATTCGCTTGTAATAGATTTAACATTTAAAATTAAACACTAGTCCAGTTAAGGGAAACGATAGCGGTTATTTTCGTCCATAGACAGCGGTTCTTGAACCGAGACATATACAGGCGAGATAGAAAGAGGTAGGCTTTTGGCTTCGGTTCACAACTGAGTCAAAAAGAGGTAGGATTTTGCCTCGATTCACAGGAACCGAAGGAGTAGGATTTCTTTTTTTCAAGGACTTTTCACTTTCGGTTAAGAAGGAACCGAGGGAGTAGAGTGGTTATTTTTTTTTGCTTTCGTCTGTGAAAAGTTGTTTCCCAAGCTTCGAGTTCTCCTAGTAAGCAAGGTATCTTCACTCTCGAGAAAGGTCTCCACCAATCTTCAACACTTCATTCTTACATCGGACCACCACCCAACAACCGTTCAGACCACCACCCAACAACAGTGCTACCTTTACCGGACCACCACAGACCACCCCGCGAAGTCTTCTTCTCCAACAACATTCTCCAAAATGACGCAGCTATCCATGGCAACCTGCAAGAAATAGAAACCAAGCCAAAGAACCAGGACGCCGCCGCGACTACAGATCAGAAAGGAGGGAACCAGAAATGAGGGAACCATTATCGGACCACCACAGAACCACCGGAGAACCAGGACTCCGTCGCGACTCCACCAATCTTCAACACTCCATTCATCGGACCACCTTTACCGGACCACCACAGAACCACCGCGAGCTCTCTCTCTCCTTCGCGCAACCTGCAATGTTTCCCCCAATCTCTCTCTCCTTCGCATCGAACCACCGCGAGTTCACCAATCTTTCGATCTCCTTCGCACCACAGAGCACCATCTTTCCTTCGCGGCAAAGCACCATCTTTCCCCCAATCTTCACTGTCAATGTCGATGTCATCAAACCCTAAATCAAACTATTTCCCCTAACCCCACTTCGCGCAACCCCGTTCAACCTCCATTCATCCTCATCAGCAATTTTCAACCTGCAAAATCAAGCTAAACTTGCAAGGGAGCCTCCGCCGTGGAATATTGAAGACAGCAAGATTGAAGCAGCGGCGGAGGCAGCAGTGGCAGACGCAGGCGGCGGGGCACCAATGGCGCGACGGCGCAAGGACGAGGCGCGGGCAAGAACAGAAATAGAGGTGACGAGCGTAGAGGTGGCAGCGGGCGAGGCAGGCACGAGCACAGGGGGCGGCGCGGCGAGGCAAGGAGTGGCAGTGGTGGACAAAACTGTAGAGGAAGAAGGAGAGATGAGATTGGGATCGGAGGAAGGGTCATTCTCTTTGGAGTGTTTGTGCTTGCGAGAGGGACGGGTTTTGGCGGAGCTAGGAGAGGCGGCAATGGTGGCCGTAGAAGCGAGTTCTTCGTCCCTGAGAGGGTTTCTTGGGAGCATGAAGTGATTCATTTTGGGGCAAAGAAGAGAAGAACACGAACGAAATAGGGAAAGGTAAGAAGAAAGATGATGGGGTTTGGAAAACATATTATACCTCGGTTCTACCTTTGCCTGAGGCAATAAAGCATTATATGCCTCGGTTAAACATAGCACCCGATGTCGTAAGGTTGACTTGTCGTGTGGAAGAGGCGTGTTCAGTGAGTTGCAGGTGTGGCAGAGGCTTTATGCCTCGGTTCTGCATGCACCCGATGTAGTATCAATTTTTAAAAAGTTGTCAGCCCAAAAGCCTGACTGGTAGGTCGGTTTTAGGCACCGGTTATGCCTGCAACCGAGGTCGTAGCGTTGTTCTACTTCAGTCATGCATGCAACCGAGGCCTATAAGGTCCCCTTAATTTTAAATATGTCACCGTGTTTTGATAGGCAGCGGTTTGATATAAAATAAGGTATATTGTGCGAGTTTAAAAGCAAATATTGTACTAGTGAGAGGCCAAAGTTTAGAGTTAGAAAACCAAGAAGGAAAAGAAAAACACTAAAAAACAATGATATTATCAAGTTAAAAAATATATCAATAATATTTAACAATTATCAGTAAACCAAAAATACATATCGATAAAATCTTTATCAATAAATTTTATTGATAGAATTTATGTTTTGTCAATGCAAAAAGATTTGTTCGAAAGTAGAGTGATCTAATTCATCTTTTTCCTTCTCCCTCTTTCTTATTATTCCTTTTATCTTTTCAAGTTTTCTTCTTCCAATACTCCCTTCTTTCTTTCTTTTCCTTTGTCACCTTATTGTCGACTCCTCGTTCTCCTCCTTTTCCTTCTTATTTTCTACCTCTTTCTCTCATCTTTATTCTCTCCTTCTTTTTCTCTTTCTCTTCCACCATCTCCATCGTGCCATTGTCATGTCTTCACCACACCACCATCACTGCTTCGGTGCACTACCGTCATGCCTCCCACACCATCACCACGTCACTGTTGTGCCATTGTCTCGTCAATGTTGCACTTATCACTTAATTAATTTTTAAAAGTTAAACGTCAAATTTGGACAAGAGATTTGATATTCTTTTTACTAACAAGAAAATCTTCCAATAATAAAAATTTTAAATTAATGACGAGTTTTAAGATATGTAATTATTGACAAATTTATCGATAAAAAATTCTATCAATAATTAAATTTTGTATTATCGACATTACTAACAGATTTTATCAACAAAAATAGATCAGTCTGTAAAATTTATTAGTAATTAAAATATTAAATTTGTCGATAAAATTAATTGATAATTTGAATTTATTGACAAATTTACTTTCATAGATAAAATTCCATTAATAATTTTAAAAACTTTTGTAATGATAGAAAACTTGCCAACTTTCCAAATTACTCCAACAAACTTTATTGATATTGGCTCAATCTCTAAACTTGGTCATGGTATTAAGTGTGATCATTGACCTTTTGGATAAGAAAGACACTATATTTTGTCAATCTATTCTTCTATCATATGCGTATTAAACATGAGAAACATGCCTTCTACATATTCTCAAAACAGCAATTCTCAAAACAGCAACTAGGTGATGTCTTTGCTCCCATCTTCTCTTCTCTTTCCTTCTTCTAATACACTCATTGACAAACCATCTCGGTTTTTTTTTCAACTTTTTTGAACAAATTTACTTTTAAGTATTTATATAAAATAAAGTAGACTTTTTGGTCAAAACTTATTGTTAACATAGGATTATGGAAAGCTTCTTGTTATCCTTCTTTCCCTATCTCTGTTTAAGAGGGATAAAATATGCAATACAAGATTACTGAATTGAAATTAATTTCAACATTATAACTTTGGAAACCCTTTCATTGAAAATATGTAGTTACACTTACACCAGTTGGGAGGCAATCCCTTTAGGGGAAAAATGTTGAATAAATATAGTTAGAAGACATTTAAAAAGAGGATATAGGAAAGCTTGATCATGCTTGAAAATAGAATGGAAAACATTGGGTTAATTACTGTAAATTTCCAAAATGTTTGCCATTTGGGCTGAATTTTGGAAGGCCGAATTCTTAAAACATAGTGATGTTTTCTTAAAGAAAAGTATAATGTTATAAATCTTAAAATATCATATATACGGATTTATTAATTGAGACACAAATAAGAGAAAATAATATTATTTAAAAAATTACGATATATACGACAATGAAAGTTTTATTCTAGGGCCATATAAAGAAAGAGACTAAAGTCACTCTCTTCTACAAAGCAATCACTCTGTTGGCCAAGGAGACATACCTCACCCCTCAACAATACAACTGAACTCTTCAACTAAATAAAGGATACACTATTGT